TATAGATTTCTTTTCGCATAGCAATTTGACATATTGTGCCAATCACAACCAGAATAGCATCGTCCTAAAGAAACTAAATTCAGTTTCATATAACAATTTCATATATCATATGCAGATCAAGAGCTGAAGACCCTGACCATCCATGCACCACAAGCCAATGATCCCCCGATGTACCCGGCAGCGTGAAAGAATTTTCTGATGGCACCAAACAAATTCGCCCAACAATGAAACACAGGAACATTAGCATTATTCTGGGAGCATCCTGCATGGTGTCTTGCTCACCCGTCAAACATGATTGACGTGCATGGCACAAGTATCATACCAGTTTACAGACTTTTTAGTCTGGGAAGGACGAGGTTCCGGTGTTCAGCTTCTCTTCTAGCACAACCTGAATATTTAACAAAATACTACTAGTACGGATAGATACTACTGCAATGGATATTGCGTTTGAAAACCCATCCCTGCAGTAAAAGCGCAGAAATAAACAGATCTGTTAGAAAAACTGTTCTGAGATTACGAGGCGGCGTGGGTGAGAAGGGGATCCTGTTTTTTTTTTTTTCTCACCTGTTGCTAACGGCGGAGCGGGGGTGCGGTGGGTTGGCTAACGGCGGAGAGGGGTGCGGTGGGCCTTGGCCGCCTTTGCCCTTGCGGCATCATCCCTTTTCTTTTTAGCGGCGGCGCACCACTGGCTATGGGAGTCGAAAGCGCTGAACGAGTAACCTGCGTTAGTGCCGCACACGGCGCAGACAACCCTGTACGCACTCTTCTTGACCGGCTTCGGCACGGCGACCGTCGGCATGCAGCCTGTTCGGAGGCTGTAAAGGATCGCTGATTTGGTGTGAGAGAAAAACACTATTTCTGATTAGAAATTTACGATTATTTACGAGCCAGCGGTTCCTGACTGGAAATTTACGATTATTTATGAGCCAGCGAACATGCTGATGGTTCCCGCTGCAGTAGAGATTCGAGACGAGATGAGAGGCAGATGCATTGATTAATGCAACGGGTGGATAGAGAATTAGAGATGATCAGTCACATCAGATTCACCTGGGCGACGAGACGGCGACCTGATGCGAAAGGCGGCGGCGCGCGGTGGTAGACAAGATCAGAATTCAGAAGCGCGCTGCTGCTTTTTTGCTGCTCCTGTCCCTTTGTACAGGATCGAACCAACACGAGGAATCGCCAATCGTTAAACTCCCAACCAAACGCTGCGACGCTGCACAGCTGGTCCCAGCCAGCGTGCGCCGCAAGTCGAAGTGGTTCCTGCGTGGGACGGAACCTTTTTTTTTTTTTCCTCCCACTTGTTTCCATCATTTTGAATTTTGAATTAAGGAGATAAAAAGCAGCCTGTTCGCTTGTTGGTTTCAGCCAGGGCTTATAAGCCAGCCAATAGTATTTTTTCTCACAACAAACCAGCACCAGCCGGACTTATCAGTCCAGAAATTAACCAGCGAACAGGCTCAAGGTTGAAAAATACGCCATTTCGCTTGCACTTTGGAGACCATTCGATGTAAAAACCTTCACCAATTAACACACCATTTATCTCATCGTGATTAAAAATAGTTAGATGTGGCTAAAAAGGTTAAACGAGTTGCTTGACTCGACGTTTACTCGATATGACTACTATGACGACATTAACATAAAACTAATTAACACCTCAAATATATGAGGTAGAGATATTTATATCCCTTTTGACTTTTTTTTTTGCTAGTCTATATTTTCTAGTCTATATATGTATATTTTAGTGTTTCAACATAAAACCGTGACATCAAAGATTCAAAGGATAACTACTCCCTCCGTCCCAAGGCCAAAATAAGTGTCATTTTCTGCTTCGCGAAAAATCAAACGCTTTTAACTTGGACCAAATATATTTAATAAATTATTAATATTTATAGTACATAATTAGTAACATTAGATAGATCGTTGAATATATTTTTATAATAAATTTATTTAAAGATACAAATATTGATAATATTTTTTACAAACTTAGTCAAACTTAAGAAAGTTTCACCGGCACGAATATCACAATGACACCTATTTTGGGAATACCACTATCAACATGTGGGTCCTCACATCAAAAGGCGAATAAAAAAACATTGTGTTAACACCTTACAATTACAATTTTAATGAAATCGACTGAGATTTGTTGGATCTGATTCAAATGATATGAAGCTACTCTGTGTGAATCGGAATTGTAAGGTCAACACGGGCTCCACGTTGAATAATGAACCCTAAAACTGAACGTTCCTATTCACACCTTAATTTTTAGTGGAACACACTTAAAGTTGTAAAAAAAAATGATTTACTATAAAAATCGACCGGCTAGGCTCACGATTGGCATCCCTCCTCGCAAAGGCCTCGTTTGGCTTACTTTATAATCCGCACTATTCAGCTTGTTTTTTTAACCGAAACAGTGTTTTTCTCTCACAATAATTCAGCCAGAACAGTATTTTTCAGTTAATTCAGCTAAATTTCAGCAAGCCGAACAGGCCAAAGTCGCAAGGTCCTCCTGCCTTAAAGCTCGTGACATGACCTCTAGCGTCTGACCGTGGGATGGGGCCGCTTAACCACTCCAAAAGAGCTTGGTATTTGATGGCTCTTTTTTCTTTTTAAAAGAAAGAAGCTCAGCTTTTTATTACTCAAAAGGACACCCGTACGTGATCATGTCACTCGCACGGGTAACTGTTTGTCCCTCGTGTGGATGATAGGTGGTCTTAGGAACTGAGCCGACACACCGGGTCTCATTTTTTCCTTCTTTCTTTTCTTTTCTTTTCTTTCTTTCTTTATTTCTTATAGTTCTTTATGTATAATGTTTGCATGTACCAACTTGTGGCAGTTGCCACAACTTTACTACTCCCTCTGTTAGATTATGGTTCATTTTGGCTTTGTTTGGAAGTAAAACTTCTCTAACTTTGTTCAAACTTTTAGAGAAATATGTATATTAATTAATATGTACATGTTCGAATAAATATACACCATCAAAATATATTTTTATGGTTAATTCAATAAAATTGATATTCATGATATAAATGTTGGTATATTTTTTTCAAGATCTGCCCATTTTTTTTTCAAAAAGAAAATCTGTAGGACAAAAACCAAAATGAACTAAAAGAGTAATTAGTAAAAAAAGGGCGTACCCAGTGCAAAGACCTCCCGCTCTGTGCGGGGTCTGGGGAAGGGTGTCAGTTGCAAGCCTTACCCTCGCCTGTGCAATGCGAGGAGACCGCGACTCGAACCCAGGACCTTCCGGTCATAGGCGGTAAAACTCTACCGCTTGCACTAGGCCCGCTCTTCTAAAAGAGTAATTAGTAAACTTACTTAATTCTAATATAAGGTTAAGTTGCCCAGGGTGATTTTTTTTTGCGAGACCCATTTACAAACGCAGACGCTCACGTACACGAGCGCACACTCACTCCTATGAACGCACGGCTCGCTATCGACGGGCACATCACCTACCACTAAAAGAATAACACCGTTAAATTCTGAAATAAATCCAAAAAAATGCGATCACTCGTGTTAAGTTGGTGACTTGAACCCGGATGGACATGTTCCACCACAAGTAACCCAACCAGCTGAGCATAGCTCAGTTCCCGTTGCCCAGGGTGGTTAGAAAATGAAGCAAACTGTTTTGTATACATAGGAGGCTAGGATGTCTTACAGATTCATTATTATTAGGCACGATGTTTGATTTCCCAGTATATATATATATATATATATATATATATATATATATATATATATATATATATATATATATATATATATATATATATATAAAAGTATATTCAGTAGCCAGCTACAAAATAAGTTATTCTGTAGCCACCTCCATTTACGATAATTTTATATACTAATTTACGATAATGTCAATACATATTTACGATAGTTGGGTTACTGTAACACATGAAGATATTTACTATAATGTTATAGTAAACCACTTATAAATTAACATATTAATTATCGTAACTCAAAGTGGCTATAGAATAAGTTATTTTGTAGCCAGCTACAGGATAGTAGTTACTATGTGTTTGGGACTCTTTCTTTCTTCTCTTTTTCTGTAATAATGTAATGTTACTACTTAGGACGACAGGTCATTTATATTTTAGAATGTTTCAGGAAAAAACAGTGCATATAAAAAATATGAAACAGTCCCTACACTCTCCGGTCGGTCCCATCCCTGTCAACGGCTACGCCAGGGAGGGCCATGGCCGGAGCAGAGGCGAGGACGAGCATCGGAGGAGCAGCACCGGCAGCTCGTCGGAGAGACATACAGCCACGGGCCCACGGCAGCAAGTCCCACTCGTCAGCAATAAAGATCGATAAATACACCCTGTAACCAAGACGGGATCGGAGCAAGCAGGCCTTGTATCACCATGCTGCCAAAGTGATTTCATCCAATTAGGATCAAACCCAGTCTCTACGCCGGCCGAGGCCGATGCTGCTCTCTATTCATTAGACCGACAGTAATGGACATCAACAATGTGAGGAACATATTGCAGGCGTTTGGTCAAGCAACTGGATCGAACACCAACCATAAATATATGGATATATGGAGCCCATATATAGTCCAAAGCTTCCACGGAAAAACAGGAACCTTCCCATGCAAATACCTAGGACACATTGGAAAAACTCTGACGTGCAGCAGAACAACATACTAGTGTGCCTGGTCGCCTGGTGTTGACAACAGCCAACAGCGCGCACGATCACGCTCGATCGGCCTTCTCAGTTGAGCTGCCGGTCGTCAAGAGAAGAAACAATATACATTGGAATTGGACAGAAAAGCGATAGGCAAGGGGGGAAACAACCGGGTAGTCATGATAGTAATTCACTGCAAAACACATATATACGTACGTACCTATAGATGTACATTGTCACAAAAATTGAGATGCAAAATCCTCTTCTAAAACTTCATACGAATAATGCAAAATTGGAGCAAATAGCACTAGCAACGAGCTACAATTAATTAAGCAAGTACAATGTAATCGGCTGCTAATACTAGCATACTAGCACGGAGGTACATTAATCCAGTATGGCTGCGTGCGCACGATCTCCAAATCTTCTTGGTCGTGAACCTGGACAATCTCCATGGTTTGCTCCTGAATATCATAGATGCATAGATCCCTGTTGCCAGCCACTAATTCCTTGAGAAAGTAGAGGGTGTTCCCTTTAAGGTTATTGGTGCTTGCAAAGCACCAAGTTGCCATGTTCATGTCCGTCAAAAGAAAAGCCCTGTCCCCAATATCATCCACCCGGTGCCAGGCTACGGGTTTCTCACCAGACGAGTCCACCCTGTAGATAAGAGCGGCGCCAATGTTGCTGGGATCAAAATCCACACAGCAGATACAAACAGCAAAGAGCTCATCCATGGACTCTACCAAGTAGATGGAACCAGAGCACATGCCCTCGGGGAGCTCGGAGACATCAAACTCGTGGAACTCTGCGGCAGGAGGGTGGCCATGATCAGACGGGAAATCCAAGTCAATGATGCCCATCTTGTCTTGGTCTGATTTCGTGAAGTTGAAATGCAGCTTCCCTCTCAGCGCGGCGACGTCCTCGATGACATTCTTGGTGGGCGTAGAGGGGGTGCGGAACTCCTCAGGGAGGTCGTGGTCGCCAATGTCATAGGTGTGCTGCCCCCACCTCCGGTCAGTCCCGCCATTGACCCGGCAGAACCACATGAGAGGATCGGTGACGTCGAGAAGCACAACGGCACAGTCTGGGTGGGCGGCGGAGTTGTGGGTGAGCAGGCACTTGCAGTTGACGGGGATGTAGTGGTCGTCGTGTATGGGTGGGAGGGTGATGGTCTCTCCGGTGAGCGGATGCCACAGCGAGGCCTCCGACACTTGTCCAAGGATGAGCAGCCATCCTTGAGGCGTGCTGAAGCAGAAGTTACCATCCATCATCTGAGGCCTACTGCCGTGCGTGTAGACGATGCCCCGCTCGGACAGGCTATACATGAGCATCTTTGTGGTTGTGGTTGTGGTTGTGGCAGCAGTAGCAGTAGAGTCTGCTGGATCAACAACAGCAGTGGGCGCTGTCGTTGCATCGGGATGATCCTCGTATTCGTAGACGAGCAAGGGCAGGGAGGCAAGGACCTGCGGTGATGGCTGGATGCAGCTGCTAGTCCCGCTACCGCCATTATTCATCATCAACATGCCCATGATGGTCGGTCGATCGGTTGTGTACCTGCTGCGGGCCCTACGTGATTCAAATCACAAGAGAATAAATCGAAACGATGATGAGAAAGAAGCGCAGGTATATAGATGACTATAAATCAATCAAAATAATGTAATGATGAGAAAGAAGAACAGGTATAGATGGCAGCTGCCTGTCTGAATCATGATTTAGAATTTTATATATCTGATAAACATTCTGATTAATTTTCAAAAAAAAAACATTTAGATTTTTTATATATCTGATCTGAATCTGATAAACAAAGGCACATGGATTGATGCTTCTCACCAGCTAGATCAGCCGACCGGTGTAGCAAGAAGGCGTCGGATCCTCCGACAATAATAAGCAGTGGAGAACCCGATGGATATCTATCTATCTAATCTAATCTTGAGGTGCAGCAGGTATTGTCGAGTACACGATGAGATATCATCATGCAGGCTCGCTCGATTATATAAGCTAGCTAGGCGGAGGCCGGCGTGGACTCCTCTCCTCCATCGGATCGGTGTTGTGTATTATTGGACCCAAATTAAAATTGGAACTGGTACACGTATCCGCCTCGGTCATTCAAGTCCGATTCGACCCCCGGACTGTGAACGAGCTTGAGCGCCTCTAATGACACCGGCCATAATAATAAATAAACATCATAAAAAACCGCACAATCCATCCATTAATCTAATCTAATCTAATCTAGGCCCATAAATAAATTAGAAGCTGCTGTGAACCTATTGCAAAATCGTTTTTCCCCTAGACTAGACTAGATTTGAACGAAATCGGCCATCCCTCACGGCCTCGATAACTAACAGGAATCTGACTGAGAGTCAAAGCGGCAGCACGAGCAAAGAGATCCGCGTACCTAGATTCTTTCGGGGAAGCGCGGGCGCGGCGGACTCGATAGGGCTCAAGGCTGATGAACGGGGCTGCTTCAGTTCAGTCTGCGGACGGAAGCTGCAACACCTCAAACCTGGGACTGGGATGGGTCGCCGCGATTGGGACTGGTGATGAGAGAGCATCGTTTGGTTGGGAGGACATGGGCTGGGCTGGGCCAAGGTGTTACCCACCCACACCCACGTTTGCCTCGGGAACTCGGTTTTTTATCAGTAATTAGTTTATCTCCTGATAATCCACTCCTAAAATATAAAAGATAATTTTACATCAGGAATCCTATACTATTTTCAAATTATCCTAACCACTTTTATATATTCTTTCTCTCTTGTATATTTGCATCAGAAACCATTTCCTACTCTTTATTCTTTCCACGTCCTTCCACATTTAGACAAACATGCGCGGGGAGAGAAGATACGCGCGACTCGAAAGCGCGTAACTTTACGCGTAACAGGTAACTTTTCTCAAGTCTAAAAGATTAGGAGTTGTTAGAGAGGGGTGTTTTTTCTTATCTTGCTAAAAAATATGGATTAGAAAGGGATTTAGGAAACTCTTGGAGATGCTCCTGAAACTTATTATCTTCCTTCCCACCTCTGTTTATCTAATCCTTTCACCATGTACTCGGGGACGACGCCACGTTCAGCTTTCCTAGTGCTAATGCATGAGGGTAAATTTTATTTTTATACTACTAAAAAGTCTTAGATTTACCATCATATATCTTTATAAAAATATATATGCTCTTTTAGTTGTGCACCGAAGTTCAATTATTGCTAGCTTCGCCCCTTATGTACTATGATGACTTCTTGCCGCGCATGTGTCTACACATGAGTAATCATGGGTGTGGGTGATCTCTGCCGTTACCCTAGAAAAGAGTTCAAAACTACCGTTCATATAATATATACAGTTTTCTGTCCAGCCTAAAAGTTTCAAGTTGCTATTCTAAGTATAAACGTCACGAAACACAATGACACAATAAAGTTTCATACTACCTATCCCAAAAAGTTTCTGGGAAACGTAGCACTAGTTTTAAGTCACTTTTCTTTATCCTAATGTCAACTGTTTATTGTTGATGGCGGACTAACAATTTAAGCGAGAGTTTATGATAAGTTTAGCGTGGCTTGTAGTCTTGTTTTTCTGAAAAAAATCAGTTACTATTATAACAAATGATCTATCATCGCAATATAAGCAACACCAACGAGATATATATCTAATAATATCCCTTGTTTCAATACTCATTTTGTTGATATGCCGTCCCTCTATCTTCGAGTTTGTCATGTCTCTCTCATCGTAGCCACCTCTGTATCACCTATATACACACACACTACTTTCATCTTTTGCCTTAAGCCGTCTCTATTGTGCCCCAAGTCTGTTCTAGGCAGAGAGAGATGCCTACGGGGGTCAAAAGGCAGGACAAGAGATTCCACTCCTGCGTTTGGCATGGTGAGACCTAATCCAAGGTATGTGCATTTGTTTTTTTTCTTTTTCTCTCTCGGATTCCAATATTTCATTTATTTTTCTTGAACTCCTCCATTAAATCATGTAAATAGATTATTTCACTTATTATTTATACACTGTAGCATGATCGATTTCACTTTATGGGCTTTTAAGTCCCCACCAAAAAGAGCAAATTGTATCCATCATACAAAACAACTAGGTGGGTAGGTGCATATATTAATCCCACAACATGCAAATACTCATTTTGTTAGAAGCACTTGGCAAATTAGTGCACCTACGACTCAAACAATGCCATGCGTTTTGTATTTTTCTATGCTAGGGTCATGTTTAGATTGCAAAAAATTTCAACCCGATGAATAGTAGCACTTTCGTCTTATTTAGTAAATATTGTCCAATCATGGACCAACTAAGCTCAAAAGATTCATCTCGTGATTTCCAACTAAACTGTGCAATTAGTTATTTTTTGTACCTACATTTAATGCTCCATGCAAGCGGCTAAAAATTGATGTGATGGAGAGAGAGTGAAAAAACTTAGAATTTGGAGGTGATCTAAACAAGGCCTGGATGGTGACCTATCAGGCGAGAGGGGTTCACTATCGTTGGGTTAGACCCATGACACCTGAGCTATCGTTCGACTTGAGCCGATCAAAACGAAGTTACCATCGTGATGTCAGGCGTGCTAAAGAAACCAAGCCAAGCGAGCCGGACCACCCTCAACTGAACATGCGTGCTTTAGTGGATTGTCATACAACGTAGCCGAATTCACCAACCGTGGTCTTTGGACCGTAATTTCAGAAAACAACTAAATTCTCGCATTAAATTTAATAGATTATAAGATTTTAGACCAATAATATACACCCACTTGGATAGTTGCTATGGTGGATGCAATTCACTTCCACCAAAAATCATATCGAGCAAGGTAAGTAAAAAATCTCTACAACTAAAACATTCATAACTATTTCGTCCACAGGTGTGACACCAAAGCTGGTCCATGCGATCAAATCAGGAACGCAACGCGCACTCGTTTCATGCGATCAAATCAGGAAGGCAACGCGTACTCGCTCCATGCGATCAACTCAATCTCCATAACAACCGCAGTAAATCAGGAAAGCAAAAATTAATTCCCTATGATAGACATTTTTTATGCCACAATCACCGCTTCGGGTCGTCGGTCCACGCTAAAAAATTACTAACGTTATCGTTGGATGAGGAAGTTGATCGCTTTGCCCAGCTTAATTAATCCGGCTTCCGCGTCGCCCGGCTGCCGCGTGTCCCTGTAGTCCGTATAGGCGCATGTTAGTCGCTACTCGCTAGCTCGTTTGCCGTGGAGAGGAGTTTGAGCCGTGGATCACGTATTCACGTATACACAGGGGACACGCGGCAGCCACGTACAGGCTGCCGCACGGGAGCACGGTGCGATGCCGTCGCATATACGAAAAAAATATACAGCAAAAAAAACGGTTCCAAAACAAACACTTCCACGGGCAAAAAAAGTGTTTCAGAAAAAAAACTCTTCCACGACGTTCACATGGCCAGAAAAAATACGTTTCCCAAAAAAGAAAAAAACATTTCCAAGAAAAAACTATATGGCAAAAAACAAACCCTTTTCTGAAACAAAAAAAAACAGAAAAAACAAAATCAAAATGTTTCCGAAACAAAATCTTCCACATTGTCCGCGGCCGGAATAAAACATCTAAAAAATTGTTTCTGAAAATATATACAACAAGAAAAACTCTTTTCCAAAACAAACTTGCCAAAAAAATATAGTTGTCGAACAAACTCTTCCACATCGATATAAATGACTGATTACACACCGATGGAACAGATCAGGCACGTATTCAAACAGAGAAATTCAGCAAGGGCTTTACTGACGAAAACAAAGCAGATCACACATATATTCAAACACATGAAAACTTTGCTGACACTGACGAAACAGATCACACACATATTGAAAAAAGAGTAATTTGGACTCCAGACCTTCCCGCCGCCGACGGCTCAAAGGCACAATCAAGTTCACCGTCCTCAGTAATTCTACAGTTCGGCCGTGCTCGTCGTTCAATAAAGGTATTCAACCAAAATAATATAGCCCGCGTGCAACGCACGGGCATTTTTCTATATTTAAAACTAATATAACTCAATTTATATATGATGATAAATAATAAATGCAAAAGTCACGGAGGGGAGTTGTCTCAAAATAATTTTTTTGTTATTTTAATTTTAGCATGGTACGACTAATGAATCGTGTATTTTTTATTTTATATTACTCCAGTTATAAAAGCCAGAACGTAAAGCCGTGAAAATGAAAAAAGACTAGTACTAGGGAAGCCAATAGTCATGACAAATGTTGACGAAGCCTCAGTGCTAGAATTGCGTTTTTTTAGACGGAGGGACTCCAGATTCGAATTGTATTTTTTCTGAACTGAGGAGTAGTATACTTACGTACGGTGTACGGTGTACGTCGTTTTAACCAGACGTGGGCCCATGGTGTGGGGCCCACATCTCAGTCTAGGAGTAGTATCTTAGTACGTCATCATAGGAAGGGGAATACGAAGGGAACAAGAAAGGCCGGCCAAGCCAAAAAGATAGGGGACATTTAACTTTTTACCATTATAACGGACAGCCACTCTCGAGATCTCACCTTGCCGAGTTC